TTTCATGCGCTCTGTAGCAATGGCTTGCTCGTATCCGCCTTATACATATGCAGCCATACTCATGTGTCAATGAATTGAGGTATTGTTTTCTTGCTGTATTCTAAGTTCCTGTGCGCCCATACACCCTTCATATGTTGTATCATTAGGTCTCTTTACGACAATTCTCTGAGTGGGTCTATTCCATCCACCATCGGTAGCCTGAGCAACCTCGAGTCATTGTGAGTATCGTGAAGGGAATGGGAAAGAGAGCCAACATGACGTCGCACATGTTCATAAATTAGAGGGACTGCGATGGCGACAGCAAGTCAACTTGATTTGAGAACGAGCATACATGCTAGGCATGACCACGGGCTGGCGCTGGGTCGAGCTAGCCCGCTAACCCAGGGCCTGGGGGGGGGGGGCCTATGGTAGGTCGCTTCTACAACAAGTTTGCCAGAGATCTGCTGCAAGGCGACTAGCTGTTGGGCTCAGACCATGATACAACTAGTCATTGTACATGAATTTTCTGCAGCAAGCTGACTCAACAGGCCGGGCTAGTAATTGCGAGGCTGAGATCGACAAGTGGTACATGCAAAAAGGGCAGTTTGGAACGTGTTCCACAAGCATGTGGGAGCTCATGAGCAACTTGCTGGCCTCCTCCTGAGCCTGCAATAGCCACAAGCTCCATCCTCTCCGCTACAGCTTCAGCCTGCTCATCCACAAGGAGGCTGGCATGGCACCAGTGGCGGTGGCTGTGTCCTATGAGGAAATGTGGACAGGGGAAAGTTCACCCAGGAGAGACAGGTGCGTCCAGGACCAAGGGAGGTGGCAGCAGTGGGTCGAGTGTGCGGATCTGTGGCAGGAAGAATGGAAGCCCATTGCCGCGGTTCATAACTCGTGATGGTCCCATAGGAAGCTTCGTGTGAGGAGGGAGCGTATGCAGCAGCACAGATTTGACTCGAGATCCATTCGGGGTGGAATTCGTGGGGAGATTCCGGAAATTCCCCTGCTGCGCCGATGTCTCCATCACCAGGGGAATCTTTTCCAAGGCTGGACTTGCTGCAGAGGCAGCCAGTGCCGCTGATTTTGCAGCTGCAGCAACGACCGGCAAGTATGGAGCCCGTCCTGGTTGGCAGACCTTGTCAGAATATTATCTTATGTTCTAGCCTGTAGTGGGGTGCTCTATAGCGAGTACAACCCTTCTAGGGTTTTGCTATTTGTATCCCCATTTCTGCTAGTTCATTCCTCTTTTTCTTTCTTCAAACTTTGTCATGGTATCAGAGCGGGTTTTCACCTAGGCAAGGTGTCGAGTGAGTTGAGAAGGGAAATTGGAGAATGAATATGGTTTCACTATAGGTTCAAGGGTATATATAGCATAGAAACCAAATGAGGTGCACCACCACCAACAGTTTACATAACTACACTAACTACAACTACAAGCAGTTATAAAACATGACAAAATATTTCGACACGCCCCCATAATGCTTGTAGGTAGATGTGTAGTTCCAGCATAGCAAGCAACAGCAGGTACCCCTTCCGTCTCCTCACCCTCCTCCTTCCCCTCCCCCACACTGCTGCAGGAGCAGCAGAGAAGGGGGGGAAGAGGGGAGAGGTGGAGGGACGGCTGCATGTTGCCTCACACCCGCCACCCCGTTACCACTCCCCCTGCTCCCCCACATCCTCACACCCTCCCCCCCCCAGCGGCAGCTGCAGCGGTGGGACTGAAAGAAGGAGGAGGGGAAGGGAGAGAGGTGACGCCACACTCCAACACCCTCCACCCCCATACCCTCCTCCCCACGGATGCAGGGAGACAAAGGAGGAGGGGGTGGGAAGGAAGAAAGCCGCAGAGCGGCGAAAAGGCGTCAGTGCAGATGGGTCAGGGGCGGCTCCAGGGAGTGCAGGGGCGGAAAGGCCCGTCGCGGGCCAGTGCCACGGGGCGCACGACGGGTAGAAGAAGAAAACAGGCCCGATCGTGCGCCTAGGGGCGCACGACGAGCAGGGCACCATCGTGTGCCACGGGGCGCACGATGGGCAGATGAAGGGCACCGTCGCGTGCCACGGGGCGCGCGACGGGCAGAGAAGGAGCCACACACCCGTGGGCGGGACTAATTAAAAAATCGTCACGCGCCCTAGGCGCGCGACCGAAAACTCATCGCGGAAGCGTAAGGCGGGCACACAGGCCAAGTCGTAAAAATGCTCCGATTCCATGTCAAGAGAATAAGTGAGTTAAGAGGTGGGGCCTAGGCTTAGTAGCCTAGGCCCGAACTTAGGTATCGAGCGGGTTTTGCTAACCAAGTACACTTTTGCCCACATGGCTGAAGCACTGTGCACTTTAGCCCTGGCTGGGGAAGGAGACGGTGCATGGCGGTGACCAACATTGGCACAGCAGATACGAGGGAAATCTCTCCTGCCCATGTGACGTTTCACCAGTCCAGGCCGCAAATCAGAGTGGTGACCTCTTGGGTACCGGGGGTCTACTGTCGATCTCTGCTCATTAGCCTCGCGACAAGACCCTGTAATGTTCAAATTTCTAGGTATATGGGCAAGAGAGATTTTGAATCTTCCAAACGTGGGCACGAGATTGAGCGTGAAATTCTCTGGAACTGAAGTGGTGGGGAGATTCTGGCGCCATTCCCCCTATACACCAATATATGGGTCCTACCAACAACGCACGAGTATGTGCGAAGGACGGATGCCATCACCAGTAATGTACCCCGCGCGAGGCATAAGCAAACATGAAAACTTGGTCTGGGCTGAACAATTGGCGAGCCTGTCCGAATCCGGCCAGCCTGTCAAAGGTCGAACTGCACTGGTTTGCCTTGAATCATAGCCCCGCGCAAACCTCGTACGACATGCCCAGGATCCTTGCGACCTTTTTTACGATCCGAGGGTAAAAGCTTGTGGTAATACTGGGTGTAGATATTTAATCATGATGGCCACGTAAATCTCACAATAATCTATGTGTCGCAAGGTTGTTCTTGGACCGGTGCATTTGGGGTGGAAGGTGCCCTTGGACTGGCGAGAGAGTCAGCCAACATTCCCCCTCTGGACCAATGCTAGCATAACCAGGGGAATCTCGTCCAAGGACTGAGGTATCAGCTACCAACACAGATGATGCACCGGGTACATTGCACCCACGACAAGGTTCGGTAGGTGTGGGGCCCGTCCGGATGGGCAGGCATATGCCTCGTGCTGCGAAACCAGCGTATTGACCAACGAGCACTCTGCGCTCAGTCCTGTGATGACGTTCAAGTAGGGGAGTGAGTCGGAAGATGCTCACGTAAGAAATTAAGCTCATAGAAGTATGAGGCACATTGGCCCGCACGGGAGAACCTCAGTGGTGAATCAGCGGTGAGCTTTGGAATTTCCCGATCCAGGCAGATCGGCAGGTGAAACCGCCGATCCGCTCAGATTGGCTGGCAAGAAGAGGGTACAAATAAACACCCGACCCTGGTTCGGGTTGACCTGACCGAGGCCCTGTTCGAAAATGACCCATCTGTAAAAGGCCGGGTCAGGAAAATTGGGTCGGGTCGGGATGGGTCTGTAGCCGAACTCTCCACATAGGGAGTTGTTGAATCCTCCATACATGGAAGGAGTGAAAGCGAAAACCTCTCAGATTAGACTTGTCATGAAGAGAAAAGTCCCAAGAAGACCACAAATAACTTCCATGAGTTCCAGCATACTCTAAGACGCCATTACTTCCTGATCGAGTCTTAGCTCCACCAACTACTAATAAGCCGCCTCTCTCTGAAATGGTAAACACTAAGCTAATCGTGAGCTCACCAATTTTTCTCATGAACCATCTTCCCATCAAATCCGCTAGATGATAAATCTTAAGGCCAATCTGTTCCAAACGCTCACTCATTGCCAGATGAGCAAGATATACACCTGTATAACTGTGAAGATAAAATTTAATCCAACCGGCCCCGGTTTCACTTGTGACTGCATACATCCCTTTTGAGCTTGTAAAACTTGCCATTCCCCTCTGAATCTGCAATGGGAGATTGGGATCTTGTATTCCCCCTTGGAGTAAGTGCTGTAACCATGATTTCGCGTGCTTATCTCTATAGATCTGTTGGTAGTCACAACCTCAACTATGAAGAAATGCTAGGCTATCAGGCCCCACAAGCGGAGCCTCCAAATTGTTTTCTCATGTACATGGACAAACATTTTCAAGGGTTGTGTTGTCCATTTTGCACTCACGGTCTAAATGTTAACATTTGGCCATCCCAGCTCAGCGTCTCAAGCACATTTGTCTATCTGGTGATCCACTTTAGCCTCTTGTCATCAATCTGCAGGCTATACTTTTCACCCCTGCTTTGGTGTACACATGTTTGCGTGCTTATGCAACATTCAGAACAGCCCCAATCATGGCATCTCTTGTTGTCCATTCTTGTGATGTTTGCTCCTTATAAAAATGTGGTAGAAAGTCGAACTTAAGTATAGGAAACATGTTTGCGCTCACGCTTGGAGGCACTTATTGGGATAGGTACTTGAAATTTGAGCGGAACAACTTCCACTTCCAACACCTCCTATTATCGTGTGTGTAAGCTAGTATAAGTACGAGTTTAACACTCTTGGATTTTACACATTCTGTTTCCACTCCCCTCTCCCACCAACTACTGACTCTATCTCTCTCTTTCTTGGCCCCCTTTGGTTGTATGTAGGGATGAGCAAAGGGCGAACTCGAACACGCTCGGGTTCGAGTTCGCTCGAACATCACCATTTCCCGAACCGAACAAGGTTCGGTTCGGCGAATAATTTGGCTAGCAGGAGGTGTTCGCCGTTCGCCCATGGGGGCGAACATTTGGTATATGTGGGCGAACTCGAACATGTTCGAACCGAACATGTTCAAGTTCGCCCGTGGGCAATTTCGTTATAATCACATTGGTCAAACATGGAATCTGGAGGGTTGGGAAGATAGATGGGGGGGTGGAGGGTGTATATGTGTTCATGCAACGCACACCAGCATACCACACCATCATGTTTTGCCTATATAAAAGTCACTGTCAAATTAAATCCTACGCCTGCACACCACTGCTACTACCAACAACAGCATGCTCCGCGTCAGAGGTGTCGCCAGCACCCACCCCCTCCTGCTCCTCCTCCTCCCCCTCCTCCTCCTCCCACTCGTCGTCCTCCTCCTCCCCCTTGCCTTCAATGGCGAACTCTGGTGGTGCCTCGCCTTTTGCACGGCGGCCCTCGCCTATCCTCTGTCCAGGGTGTGAGGTGTACCATGATCTGAGAATCATGGAAGCTCGCGTCCTCTGAGAGGCTAGGCGGTGCCGCTTCCAGGAAATGAGGTTGCGGCCGAGGGAGAACACGCGCTCGCTCGACGCGGACGTGGCAGGGATGGCAAGATAATCCTGGGCCATGCGCCTCAGCGTCTGCATGTTGGTGGTGCTGCGCCAATACTCCAACGCTGACACGTCGCACCGCACCCTCTCAGATAAGTACCTGCCAACCTCGTCATCCTGCACCATCCCACCCCTCCCCGCCTCCTGGCTCGCCGACAGACGCGCCGCAAGGCGTCGGCGACTAGGGAGAAACTCGGCGTCTTCGTCGTCATCCGCCGCGTCTCCCTCCTCCTCCTCCGTCACTGGGGCAAGTAAGGTCGGCCGAGGGGCAATCGCTGCAGCCCGGGCCTGGTACTCGGCCACGCGCTCGCGAACCAGCTGGATCACCTCGCCTGACAAGGGACGAGGCCTCGCCCTCCGGTCGGTATCGGGATGCAGCGTCTCCCAGTGCGCGTCGTCGACCCACGCCGCCTTCATGGAAGGGTCCAGGAAGGTCGCGATCCACAACTCGTTGCTTGACATCAGTTCATACTTCTTCAAGAGACCCAGCGCCGCCTCAATCATCGGCTTCAGCGTAGCCAATGGCCCCTTGGCAAGGCGCGACTCCATAGCGTCGATCAGGCCGTTGTAGTACGGCAGGACCATCGCCACTGTAGGGTACGCCGCTCCCTCCGCGGCCTTTGAGACTTTGGCGAATGGGCTGAGGAAGGTCTTGACAGAATGCAGAGTCTCCGAGTCTGCGTCCGTCAGGCGCAAGGTGTCCATCTTCGCCTTGTCAGCCTTCGACACGCCCTGTCGGGTAGAACGTATGGGTGGGCGGGTGTTAGGGTGGAAAGTGGGGTGGTTGAGGTTGTTGGAGGTCCGATAAGTTTAGTCAAGCATGGTCAACAGTGGTGCAAGTCCCAGAACAAAACACCCCGACCGACATACCAACACATAAAACCGCATACACAACACCTGGCACACACACACACACCTGTGTCTGGGCAAAGAAGACAGAGATGGGTTCCTGCAGAACCCCAGCTCGCTCGACCATGTCGTGGGTCGACCCCCAGCGTGTGGGACTGTCCTGCACCAGCTTCAATGCCGGCTTCGGTTTGGCGGGGTTGCCCTGCGCGTTCAGGGTCCGCTGAAGGCCCAAGAACTTCCCTGAGCGCTGCGGCGAGAAGCCTATCCACGACGCCATCTCTCTCAGAATCTTCAGCAACTTGCGGATGGCGGTCACAGCGAGTGCTGCCTTCACAGCAAGGTTGATCACGTGTGCCAGGCATCTGCGCACATCACAAAACATTAATGGCGGAGAGAAAGGGAAGTGTGAGTACACATTGGCATAGACCCGAGAAACACTACCACTCTCAAGCCGCATAGGCCCACCCGCCCGTACTACAACCACAACATGTTCACAGGAACGACGCACCCAGACTCCCTCATCGCACACTCCCTTTCGTACCGTAAGTGCATGCGCGAGCTGAAGAAGCACTGGCCACCACCCTCCTCCGACATCCACCTGAAAGCGGCAGTGTTGCTGGAGGCGTTGTCTAAGGTGAACCCAAGACAACGCGTCTCCAACCCCCACTGCACCACCGTCTCCTCAACCACCCTCGCCATGTGCTTGCCCGTGTGACGCCCGTGAATCTCGCGGAATTCAAACACCATTGTGCGCAGCTGGTAATTCTCGTCGATCCAGTGACCTGTTACCACTAGCCACGCCCTGTTGTTGGGCGACGTCCACATGTCGATGGTGAACGACACCCTGCACCCCAGCTCCCCCTCCTTCGTCAGCATCTCCGCAATGGCTGACTGAAGAGCGGCAGCCGCATACACCACTGTGTCGCGGGAAACCGTCCAGCGCGAGGGGATGAAGTTCTTCTGCGCGCAGTTGCGGTTTAGCAGGATGAGTAGCTCACGAAACTGGAGAGGGGTAGAGACAAGGGGGGAGAGGGGAGTAAACGTCAGGGGGATGGGATGAAAATAATATAGCACTGCACTGGGCCACGCGCAAACAGTCAAAACACAAAGGGACAGACCCGTCCACTAACCACATGCTTGCCCAATCATGCATGGGATGGGATGGGGCACTTACAGCCTCGGCCTCGACGATGCGGAAGGGGAGGTCGCAGGTGACCACCAGCTTTGTGATCGCCTGCCGTAGCTGCACCGAGGTCAGTTTGGTTGTCATCCACCGCTCCATCCCGCCTGAACCATGACCTCCACCAATCGCCATCCCTTTCTCCTTGGCGAGCTGCGGCCAAGTCTTGGCATGTGGCCACTGATATACGTAGCCATCCGGCACTCCCTTGTAGCCCCCACGGGGAAACGTCTCCCCTGGCAAGTGAACGGATGGGGTGTGGTAACGGTGATGCCACACATGCATGTGCGCAGTGTGGAAGCTCGCAAAGTGCCGCTCGCCCAGGGTTGTTGTGGATTGCTTCCGCGAAATCCTGTTTGTGCAAATCTTGCACTGACGCTTATCGTCTGCCCCTAACGGTCCGAACATCATTACTTGCCACCCCGGCTTCCTATTACCCTTGCCAGTCCCCTTACTACTCTCGGACCCTCCGTCCTCGTCTAGGAACTCGGGAGCGATCACACCCTCGCCCAAGGGCTCCCCAGTGAACGTGCAGGGATACGCCCGCTCCCTCAACTTGTTGGCCTTCTTCCTCTGCCTCGGCTCCCTAATGGTCACGGCCTTTCTCCCCCCCACCTTAACCCCCACGCTCCCTCCCCCTTCACGCACATGCTGTGATCCCGCCTCTGTCGCCGCCCTTCCACCACCCTCTCCCACCTCCTCCTCCCGCCCCTCTGGCTCCAACCCATCCATCTCGTGGTCTTCATCATCATCATCTCCCCCCTCCCCACCGCCATGCGTCTCTGGGTTCCACGCCGCCTCGCTGTCATCCCCGCTCCCCTCAGTGTCCTCCTCCTTCTCGCCCTCACCATCCTCCTCCTCATCCTCCTCCTCACTGCCGCTCTCCGGCTGCGTCTGCGTCTGCCCCGAAGGAGGGGGTCGAGGGCCGTCGTAACGGAAAGAGCGACGAGAGGTCGGCGCCGGTACGGTAAGCAACCCCCCAACGAAGATCGCGCCGGCTCCTCCCGGTCCATCCCCTACTCGCCCCTGCATAGGTCGTGGTGGAGATCCCGGTGCGCTGCGCTGAGCCCTGCCTGCACCTCGGCCTATGGATCCACCAGCCCTGGAAGCCATAACTCCGCCCTCGACCCTAAACCCTAAAACACCCTTCCTGCAACGGTAGCGTTGGATGGTGCCGCACGTTCCTAAACGTTATCCTGCACAGTTAGGTCTCTGAAATGCCCGATCCGAATCCTACGGCGTAGGATACGCCCTACTTGAGCCCTTTGCGGAGATGCTGGCTGAACCTAAATAGTAACCCTAAACACCCTACACTACGTTAAACCCTATGCATAGATCTAATGTCAGTGTACATTGCAAGTATCAGCGTGCACTTGCTTGCACCTAGAACAAGGAGGCTAGGGCGGCTGTGTGAGGGAGCGCTAAGGCGAAAACAAGTTCTGAGTTTGACCTCACGAAATGAGCTCAAACACAAATTGGCCGCGACCTAAATCTGGTCGCGGCCAATTTTGACGCGAACCTTTTTGGTGTTCGCGTGGCCCCCAAGTCGAACACGAACATGTTCGTATTCGGCTTGGAGACCCGAAATTCTGGGGCGAACGTCGAACATGTTCGGCCGAACACCGAACATGTTCGGCCCGAACAATTCTGGCAAAAAAAATTGCCTGTTGTTCGAGGCGAACCGAACAGGCATTCGGGATTTTGCTCATCCCTAGTTGTATGTACCATCAGGAATCTATCAATTAACAATTTCAGTTGTTCGATTTCATCCACCATCGGCAACATGATCAGCCTTGAATACCTGTCCGTATCCAAGGAATTTAATCGATAACTTTCATTTGCATGGCTAATCATTCTTGAAACTACAGATTAAGCTGGATTTGGGCTTCGCTAAGCAGGTATACTTTGGCCCACATGATTGAACCACTTTGCACTTTGAAACTCAAGGCCGGGAAGGGAGGCGGTGCATGGCAGTGACCAAAATTGGCAGAGCACTTGCGAGGGAGATCTCTCCCGCCCGCGGTGACGCATCACCAGTCCAGCCTGCCACTCACAGTGGTTTCCTCCTGTTAACCAGGGTCTGCCCCCGATCTCTGCACATTAGCCTCACAATAAAGTCCTGCAATGTTCAAACAATTATGATGCATGGGCTAGGGAGACTCATTTTTCTTCATGCGTGAGCAGGATATTGAGAGTGATGTTCCTTGAAATCAAGCCAGCAGTGAAGGATGACGACCCATGGCCATGAGATATAGCTACCATCAGTTCGTCATACCAAATCCAACCATTCTCAAGCTGCCCTCATATTTGGTCAAACCTAAGTGAGCTTTAAGCTGCCCTCATATTTGGTCAAACCTAAGTGAGCTTTAATAAAAGAACAGGAATCCTCTTATCAAACCTAAGGTAGCCCTCTTTATTAACAATATATAAATATATATATATATATCTTCCTAATCTCATATACATACTGAAATTAGCAAGCCGGCCTGTGATGGAGAGGACTGCCGCAAGGAGATAGGCTGGGGTTCGCCCACGAATTTGCACAAGGACGGCAATACGCTGGTTTGATCCGTGTCGATCTGGCAAAGAGCATAGGACTGGCCATAGTACATGACCTTTTTGCAGTGCAGAGAGATGTTCGTGCTTGCAAATTGGCTGGGCCGATCGTGCTGAACTTGCAACAAGTTCTGCACGATCAGCCCATTTGCAAGCCCATATGCATCAGAGGCTGGCCCGACCGTGCGTGCCCTAATTCAGCCATATGAACATGGCTAATGCACTCATGACGCCTTTGACTGGGAGTGTGCTTATGTTCCATTCACATCAAGGTTGTTTCGGTCCACAATGAGCTGACTCGCAGACCAGCCAAGTGGGCGGCTGATTTGGCCTGTGTGACATACGTGAGCCAGGACAAGCAGGCATGGCTCGTCGCAGTCCGTCAGATCAGATGTGAGAGAGATCTCTCCCGCTCGCCCATGGTGACGTGGTGAGAGAGCTTTCCTCTGTGATGGGGATCGACAAAGCACTCACTAGTGGTGCAAATCACCGAAGACACAGACAACGATGGTGTCCTCTCAGCAGGGTATGACTTACAATCTCGGTGCCACTTGCCACTGCCACTCACGTGGCCAAGCCGTGTGAGGAACCTTGCAAGTCACGTGCCGTCCACTTCTTAACCATCAGGATCGTGGATATGGAAGCGTTAATGGTTTTTAAAACTGTCAGTGTGCACACTTGGGTGACAAACAATAAGATCACGATCTCCTTTGGGTCCTTTTTGAGCTAAATGTCCACTCCGGATGGAGACCACGTTTGGTCTTATTCAGATACAATGTTATTCACCAGCGTCAAGGGTTTATCCACCTCAACTCACATGTCAGGTAAAAAGACCCAACCTTGTCATCCGAGTCACCTTATGTGTGTGTTCCACCAGGGATACCTCCAGCCTCCCAGCAAATTCACGGCCAGCCCCCCAGTATGATGCAACCGTAGAAGAAACCTTGCCAGCACACACACCTCCTTGGGACACCAGCAGCAAGCCCCCTTACCGATCCCATGTTTGGGTGCTCCACAAGCACGAGGGAGCTCACAAAGAAGCTTCCTGGCCTCTTGGTGAGCGTTCGATGGCCTCAAGCGAGCTCCATCCTCTCAGCTGCAGCACTGCTTGCTGGTCCACAAATAATGGAGACTGGTATGGCATCATTCTCAGCAGCTGGGTCCTAGGAGGAAATGTGGACGAGTAATTTTCACCCCCAGAGGGAAGAGTGCGTCTGGGACCAAGGGAGGCAGCATCACTGGGCAGACGCGTGTGCAAACCTGTAGTGGGAGCATAAGAGACCAACTATCATGGTTCGAAATTCGAGTTACACGAAGCTATGCATGAGGAGGAGGGAGTATCTGCGCCAGCGCGAATGCGAGGTACTTGGGATGTAAGGTGCCCCTGATCTAGCAGAGAGAGGATGCAGCCATTCCTCCTGTGTGCCCACAGCGACCTGTCACCATTGTGAGCCGGTCCGTCTCGCCACTCACAGTGGTGAGCAGGATTTGCTGCAAATCGCTCCACATTAGCCTCACTATATGGTCCTGAAGTGTAGCTCACTATATGGTCCTGAAGTGTAGCTCGTAACTAACTCGTGGTTCATAACTCATGATGGTCTGTCTCACCACTCACACTGGTGAGCGGGATTTACTGCGAATCACTTCACATTAGACTCACAGGGTGCCCCTGATCTGGCGGTAAGATACATGGGCAAGGTTATGTGCATTTTTGTGCACATTGACAATAATATAAGGGGTTGGTCAATCTGTCCATTCATTATCTAGTGTCAAAATGCTAACATTCGGCTACCCCGGCACATCATTCACTATTTAAGCACCATATGTACAACCGGTTATCCACTTTGGCAACTGGTCATCATCGGTCTGCATGGTGCACTCCTCACTGCTCCTTTGGCTCTACGTGTTTGTGTGCTTGCGTAGCATTTTAGACCAGCACCCCTTATGATATCTCCTGTTTGTGCTAACACCTGGAGGTACCTACTAGGCTAGGTACCTCGTCCTATGATCACATTCACATCTCGTCGTGGCGTCTTCCACTTTTGCAGCCACCCATAACTGCCAAACTGAGTGTGTGTAACGCGTCGTGACTATGTGCTTGTTCAACACTTAAGACTACCTCAATTGGTTTCATTTGCTTTCATTAAATGTAGTGGTTGTTTCTTGCAGCATTGTGTGATGGTTCGATGTTAAAGTTCAGTAGTTTCTTTCTGGTGTGCTCACAATCAAGCACCTTCTAGAATAGGTAGCTTATATCACAAACCACATATCAGCATGTCATGTTCACTCATCCCTCTCCTACATTTTAGTTCAGTTCTATTTTTTTTATTACTTTCATGGCACCGTTTTCATGCGCTCTGTAGCAATGGTTTGATCGTATCTGCCTTATATGCAGCCATACTCATGTGTCCATAAATTGAGGTATTGTTTTTCTTGCTGTATTTCTTTATGTGCGCCCATACACCCTTCATATGTTGCATCATTAGGTATCTTAACGACAATTCTCTGAGTGGGTCTATTCCATCCACCATCGGTAGCCTAAGCAACCTCCAGACATTGTGAGTATCGTGAAGGGAATGGGAAAGAGAGCCAACATGACATCGTACGTGTTCAGAAATTAGAGGGATTGCGATGGCGACACCAAGTCAACTTGATTTGAGAATAAGCATATATGCTAGGCATGACCACGGGCTGGTGCTGGGTTGAGCTAGCCCGCTAACCCAGGGCCTGGGGGGCGGCCTATGGTAGGTCGGTTCTACAGCAAGTTTGTCAGAGATCTGCACCAAGGCGACTAGTTGGTGGGCTCAGACCATGATACAACTAGTCATTGTACATGAATTTTCTGCAGCAAGCTGACCCAACAGGCCGGGCTAGTAATTGCGAGGCTGAGATCGACAAGCGGTACATGCAAAAAGGGCAGTCCGTAACGTGTTCCAAACAGGCTGGCCCAACCACGCTGTCCCACGCCATTCAATTTGAACTACATCATGACTAGAGGGTCCAAGCTCGGCCGTATGAGCATTTGGAGCTGTTGGAAATGACTCACAACTGCAAGGCTCCTACGAATAGTGGGTTTGAGCATAGGCCTATGACCAGCTTAGTCGTTCCATTGCACAACAAACTGACTGGCCGACGAGATGAGTGGGCAGCTAATTAAGCCTGTGGCTCATTTATGATACGCAACCAATCGAGCCAGAACGAGCGTGTATGCCTCGCCACAATCTGTCAAATCCGCATGGAGATGCCAGTTTGCTGCCGGATGTATGTGGATCTTGCGTTTTACCACCACATTCGCATAAAGTAGAAAACTTTTCATTGCCTTATTCATATGTAGTGCTCCTTCCAGTGGCTGTGAGGTAGGAACGAGCGAGAATATCTTTTTGAATACAGTGACTGCAGACCATATGTGCTCCTACTCGATTTCAATGCTACTCACCAGTGCCAACTCACGTGTCAGGTGGGAGGACCCAAGCTTGTCATCCGGGTTGCCTCCACCAAAGTTTCCCCTAACCCCATAGCAGCAGAGTTGCAGCCATCCCCCCAGCATCATGCAATTGCAGCAAAACTCTGCCAGCACATGCACCTCCTTGAAAAGCAAGCACAAAGCACCCTGAACAGACCTTGTGCTCCACAAGCACGTGGGAGCTCATGAGGAACTTGCTGGCTGAGGAAAGTCAAACGAGAATGAATCAACTATGAAATGAGTGAGTACAAGTACTAACCCTAATTGTGTTGTACCCCCTATGGGATACCCCACTATAGCCTACACAAATGTATAAGCTATGTAGCATTCTGACACACCCCCATAGGCAAAGTGGGGGAGAACAAGGGGTCACAAGACCAGTCAAGCAAAGCAAAGCAAAGCAAGCTCAGGGTGGATCACAAAGTCACAACACAGTCCGAGCATAGGGTCAAGGCCACACGGCCAGTTCACATGCAAGAGTACACACATATATATAAAGCTAGACAAGCAAGAGCAGGTATATATATATGTGAGAGTACAATCAAGGTCAAGAGGAGAGCAAGTGAGGCAAGACGGGCACAAGACCCAGCTGAGTGCAGAAGCGCTGATGATCACAATGCGCAAGTGCATTGATAAAGACATCAGCAGTGTTGGCCTCAGAGGCCACGTACGCAAGCCGCAACTGTCCACGCTGCAGTAGCTCACAAGCAAGAAAGTAGCGGAGAGCAATGTGCTTTGTTCTGTGCTCCAGTCGCTGCTCTCGACACAAGGCCAGCATGGCCTTGTTGTCTACATACAGGACTGGAGGAGAACGAGGCGGCTCTCCAAGGCCAGTCAGCAGGTAGGTGAGCCAGCAAAACTCCTGTGCAGCCATGGCCCCAGCGTAGATCTCAGCCTCACAACTGGAGCCAAGGACAGAAGACGAGCGAGTAGCCCGCCACGAAACAGAGCCGAAACCAAGGCTGAAGGTGTAACCCAGTGACGACCGCTGCGTAGCCTGGTCGTCAGCCCAAGAAGCGTCCGCGTGCTCAGTGAGGACCACTGGACTCCGCCCTCCAAGCACTAGCCCCATGCCCGACGTATTACACAGGTAGCGCAACACCCTCTTCGCTGCAGCCATGTGCTCTGGTCGGTGTCTCCCAGGAGCAACATAGCATGCGAGAATGCTAAGAGGGTATGCAAGGTCAGGTCGTGTGCAGGTCATCAGGTACATGAGGCAGCCAACAAGCTCTGGGTACGGGCCACACGACTCTACGGACTCATCCGAAGGCAGAGCTGAGAGCGAGTGGCGAGTAGACAGAGGAGTGGCCTGAGGCGAGGAGTACGTGAAGCCGAAGCGCTGAAGAACCTGCTACACCATGTGTGACTGAGTCAGGGTAATGGTGCGGCGTGCTCTGTCCCGGGCGATCTGCAAGCCAAGGTAGCTGCGCAGTTCACCCAGGTCTGTGCACGTGTGTCTCTTCTGCAGCTCGGACTTCACGTAGGCGAGTCCAGCAGTGTCAGCTGTGGCAAAGACCAAGTCGTCGACGTACACGAGGATGTAGAACGGCGGCAGAGAGGTGTCGGTGCGCAGAAACAGCGACGGGTCGGCAGTAGAAGGAGCAAACCCAAGAGGCGTAAGCGTAGTTCTCAGTGTGTCGTGCCACTCACAGGGCGCCTGGTGGAGACCGTAGACTGGACGCCGGAGACTCCACTTGGTACCAAGAGGGAAAGACCCAGTGAAGCCAGGTGGGCGACGCAGCCAGATCTCCTCGTGCAGGCTGCCCTGCAAGAAAGCTGTGCTGAAGTCAAGAGAGTGCAGCTCGTAGTCACGGTGAGCAGCAACGTGCAGCAGTACCCGAAGAGTGGTCATCTTCGGGGTGGGGGAGAAGGTCTGAAAGTAGTAAACTCCCTGCCGCTGGCTGAAACCACGAGCCACGTAACGCGCCTCGAAGACAGGTGGAGAAACCGGCGGCCGCTTCACCCTGAAGCTCCACATGCCACTGACGATGTTCGCCCCAGGAGGGCGGACACCGTCAACGTAGGTGCCTGTGGATTTCCAGGAAGCCATCTCTGCATCCATAGCTGCCTGCCACTGAGAGGAGTAGGGACCCTCTATCGCCTCCGTGTAAGAGCGCGGAGTCGGGATGTCAAGTGCATCCGGGTCTCCCTCAGGGGTAAGCACTACGGACACGAGATGAGGTGAAGCAGCCGCCAGACACTGGAACTCCTCCTGCCTGTCCTCAAGGACGTCCGTGCCAGGAGCACACTCACCCCCGACGGACGGAGGACAGACAGACTCAGACTCAGCGACAAGACTAGCAGCGTAGTCTAGGCGTCAGTGAGCAGCCAAGTCGACGAGCTCAGCATCTAGGGCAGACGCAGCAGTAGACTCGAAGGAAGCGTCAGTGACAACAGTAGCAAAGAGACGCGTGATAGCAGGAGTGGCAGCACGAAGAGAGTCCGACTCAGGGTCGGCAAGAGCGGGAAGAGAGGACTCAGGAGGGGAAGGCAAAGGGGCACGCAGAGGAGCAGTAGACGGACGCAGAGACATCCGTTGCATGCCAGGGACAGGAAGAGGACGCTGGCGAGGACCGCGACCACTAGCGCGAGCAGCACGAACAGGCGACGCAGGACGAGACGCAGGCTCACGACGCTCAGTAAGACCTCCAGTAGGACCAGCGTAGGGAGAAGGAGCAGGCAAAGGGGAGGCAGGCTGTAGCTGTGACTGTGACGGGACAAGCTGTGGACACTTTAAGGTAGGAGGCGGACCAGTGGAGTGGAAGACCAAGAACCTGCTGCAGGAGTGGAACAAAGTACGGTCGAGGCCGCGTGGCGACGCCAGAAGCAGCAGGGACAGCACCAGTAACCTCAGCAGGAGCAACCGCCCCAGCAGAACCTCCAGCAGCTCGAGAACCTCCAGCAGCACCAGGAGCACCCCCAGCAGGACCGCCAGTAGTAGTCTCAGCACCAATACCCTCAGCAGCACCAGCTCTAGTCGAACCCGCAGGCCCAGCAGCTCCAGTACTCTCAGTACGAGCACCTCCGGGACCCGCGACCGCAGCACCCTCAGCACCCGAAGAACCTCCAGCACCAGCAGAACGGCGCCAGCGCCGGGCAAACCACTCGCGCAGCTCCTGTGGAGAGAGTGGCTCCCGGCGAGAAGAAGCACCCGGAGAACCTCCAGGCGGAGCACCTCCACGCTCAGCACCCCCAGGCGTAGCACCCCCAGGCTCAGCACCCCAAGACGCAGCACCTCGAGGCTCAGCACCCCCAGTCTCAGCACCCCCAGACGCAGCACCCCCAAGCTCAGCACCCCCAGGCTCAGCACCCCAAGACGCAGCACCCCGAGGCTCAGCACCACCAGACTCCGTACCCCTAGGTCCAGCACCCCCAGGCTCAGCACCCCCAGCAGCACCAGAGTCAACAGTGACCTCGACAGGCTCGACTGCGTCTACGTGGGACACACCTGAAGGGGCAAGACCCTGAGGGGGAAGGGGGTCTACCTGGGGGGGACCTGGTATAAGGAAGAGTGGGGGTGGGGGGAGGGACGGAGTGCGGTAGGGGAAGAGGCGGTAGTAGGGGACCGACTCGTCAAACGTGACGTCCTGGGAGGACAGAACACGGCGAGAGGTGGGGTGGTAGAACTGCCACCCAGGCGCGTCAGGGGGGAACCCCAGGAAGACGCAAGGAGCAGCACGAGGGGACAGCTTGTCCGCAGACAAGTCGCGGACAAACGCACTAGATCCCCAGACCCGAAACGCTCACGCATCGCCAACCTTCCCCGTCCACAGCAAGGCTGGGGAGGTCTCCGGCCTGGAGACTCTGGGGTGGAGGTTGATCTGATGCGCCGCGTACCTCATCACAAACGGCCACAGAAAATGGGGGGCAGCCGCATGCTTCATAGACGTACGAGCGACGTCCATGACCATGCCAATGCGGCGCTCAGCAATCCCATTTTGCTACGGTGAGTCCGGAAGCGTGAAGGTCTAACGGATGCCTCGTGCACGACAGTAGGCTCGCAGAAGGCCAGAGGAGAACTCTCCGCCTCTGTCCAAGTGCAGACGCACAACAGGGAAGTCCGAGCCAAAGCTCTGCCTGAGCTGGAGACGAGCTGCGCAGATCCAATCGATCAGTACCTCAGTGACACCACCCTAGGTGCGCAAGGGGAAGACTGTGGTGTAACGCGAGTAGTCGTCAACAACGAGCAGGAAGTAGCGCTCGTGACTCTGTCTACAGACGCGGGCTGGGCCCCACACGTCCATGTGAAGCGTCTGCAACGGGGCCTCTGTCGAAGGAAACTGGGAGGAGTGAGGGGCAGCACGCTGGCGCCCCTCGACACAGGGGACACAGGCAGGGCCAGGGCCCTGAGGAAGGGGAGGGAGGGACCGGGGGAGACCAGACACAAGAAGATGAGAGGCTATGCCTCTGAGCCGAAGCAGAGAGGGGTGGCCAAGGCGGTGGTGCCAGAGGAGAGTCTCGTAAGACAAGAGACGACACGAACAGGGGGCAGACTCAGGACCAGACCAGGACGTCGCAGCAAACACCTGACCCGACGCAGCTACCCTACCAGACTCAGCAACTGGAGGAGACGCAGTGGTGAGAGTGTACAGGCTCGACCCCGGCTGACGGGTGAACGTAGCCAGGTGTCGGCCTGTGCTAGCCTCCGTACAGTGTGTCCCTCGGTGACGCGCAGGAGTGAACTGGTGGACACCTGCATCCTGTAGGTCAGCACCACTCACCAGGTTCGTCGAGAACGAGGGGAGGTAAAGACCAGACAGGGTGCCAGAGGGAGCCGCTGGACACGGGAGGACTGTGGAGAAACGAGACAGTACAGGACCTCCGGAGGGGTCAGCCAGAGACATCGCAACCGGCCGACTGAGCGGCGTGAGTGTGGTGCGGTCCCGAGAGAAGGAGCGAGACGCCCCAGAGTCAAGGGTGAAGGTGAGGGAGGCCGAAGCCGACGTAGTACCTGAGAGCGCAGACTCACTAGTACCTGAGGACGCAGACACACTAGCACCTAGAGCAGCAGCGTCGCAAGCACCTAGGGCAGCAGCCTCAATGCCCGGATCGGGCGGGAAACAGCGGTAGCAGTCACCCTCATCACTATTAGACACAGCATACATGACAGAGAGAATAGCATCAAAGTCAAGATCAAATATGACAACACCCGCCCTAGACAGCTCGCCCTAGCGAGGAATCTCTTAGGCCTCCGGGAACTGGTGACGCCACGCGTCCGTCAGGCGGCCAAAGCAGCGCTGGGTGGGGTGCGGGCCCCCACACTGCTCACCCGCACGGTCGCCGGTGCGCAGGACGTAGGTGCACGGACCAAAACCCCCACCCCGCTAGCGTGCAGTGTACCACTCACAGAGCTGCTGAGGGGACAGGGTCTCACGACCGCGCTGCTGCTGCTGGCGCGAGCCACCACCGGAGCCACTCCTCTGCGAAGACCCGCGACCAGCTCCACCGCCACCCCCACCGCCTCCGCCGCCTCCGCTACTGCCGCCGCCTCCGCCGCTGCCTCCACCGCCGCCTCCTCCGCCACCTCCGCTCCCACCGCCACCGACGCCGCCGCCTCCGCCTCCACTGCCGCCACCGACCCCCCCACCCCCACCTCCACTCCCACCGCCACCCCCACTACCCCCACCGCCTCCACCTCCACCTCCACCGCCCGCTCCTCCAGCTCCCTTGCCCCCCTTGCCCTTGCCAGGGCGGCGTCTCCTGCTAGGGGCAGACGCCGCACCGACCGACTCAAGACCAAGGAGGTCGGCCGTAGCACCAGAGGCAACAGAGGGCAGCAGGGGGGAAGGAGAACACCCCTCAAAGATGGGGGTGCGCGGGTCACCTCGAGAGGCTCCTACAGCAACTATACTCTTCTCTGCTGCTAGGAGGGCCTTCTTGAGGAGGTCGACAGTGAGTGTGGTGGGACAGACTGAGAGAAAGTGGTCCTTGACTACTCGAAGGGAGTCAGGAAAGCGAGTGACTAGGAAGTACAGAGTGATGTACATGGGGGGGGGTTCGTGGCGCAGAAGTCTGCGGGGAGTGCAGCGCGGTAGCGAGTGTCACTAGTGCGGAGGTGCGTAATGAGGTCTGCCACGGTGGGAAAGGCAGCAAGGTTAGGGAAGAGGTACGGTAGCATGAGACGGCTGAGTGCAGCAGTGGCAGGGGAGGAGTAGCGCGCGACTACAGCGTCGTACAAGGTCTGAGCACTCTTGTACTGACTAAAGTGCGCACGCTCGGAGGTACGGAGGTGGCGACGCACAGCAAGACGTGCAGCAGCGTCGCGCGTGGCCCACTGGGAGCAAACAGTGGCGTCAGCGTCAGCAGCAGGGGCAGGGGAAGCGCCAGAGGTAAGGTCAAAGAGAGAGAGGCCGTCTGCCCTATCGCACTGTAAGAACAGCTGCAGGTCGTCTACCCAGACCTCAAAGTCAATGGCCCTACCCTCGGCGTAAAAAGTGAGGACACTGGGGGTAGCCATGACGACAGATGCCTAGCAGTGCAAACAGTAGGGTGAGGGCACGCAGTGACAAAGGGGCTGTGCTCACCGGACAAGGCTGCTCGGGCGGCTCGGCTGTAGGGCGGCTCGGCGGCTCGGCTGCTAGGGCGGCTCGGCGGCTCGGCTGCTGTGTGGCTCGGCTGCACGGCGGCTCGACTGGTGGGCGGCCGGGCGGCTCGGCTGCAGTGCGACTCGGCAGCAGGGCGGCTCGGCTCCTCTTCTGTTGGGCGGCTCGGTAGTGCCGCTGTAGGGCGGCGCGGCAGGAGCAGGAGGCGGCGGGGCCGCTGCGATAGGACGGCGGGGCCGCAGGAATAGGGCGGCGGGGCCCCGACGTAGGGCGGCGGGGCCGCGACGTAGGGCAGCGGGGCCGCAACGTAGGGCGGCGGGGCCGCTGGGGTAGGGCGGCGGGGCCGCGTGAGTAGGGCGGCGGGGCCGCGACGTAGGGCGGCGGGGCCGCAAGGGTAGGGCGGCGGGGCCGCGTGAGTAGGGCGGCGGGGCCGCGACGTAGGGCGGCGGGGCTGCGACGTAGGGCGGCGGGGCCGCAGGGGTAGGGCGGCGGGGCCGTTGATGTAGGGCGGCGGGGCCGCGACTTAGGGCGGCGGGGCCGCGACGTAGGGCGGCCGGGCCGCTGATGTAGGGCGGCGGGGCCGCGAGGTAGGGCGGCGGGGCCGCAGGAGCAAGGCGGCGGGGCCGCCGAGAAAGGCGACGGGGCCGCGACGTAGGGCGGCGGGGCCGCACGAGTAGGGCGGCGGGGCCGCGACGTAGGGCGGCGGGGCCGCAGGAGCAAGGCGGCGGGGCCGCCAAGAAAGGCGGCGGGGCCGCGACGTAGGGCGGCGGGGCCGCAGGAGTAGGGCGGCGGGGCCGCGACGTAGGGCGGCGGGGCCGCGACGTAGGGCGGCGGGGCCGCAGGAGAGGGAGGGCCGCTAGGGCGTAGTGGCCACTAGGGCGGCTCGACGAGGTGAAAGCCCGAGGCGCGACTCAAGGGGGGGGGGGGAGCGCGCTTCGGGCAGGAAAAAAATAATTCTCAATATGGTGGGCCCTAGGCACAGTTCCCACGGGGGAACCTGCTCGATACCATGAGGAAAGTCAAACGAGAATGAATCAACTATGAAATGAGTGAGTACAAGTACTAACCCTAATTGTGTTGTACCCCCTATAGGATACCCCACTATAGCCTACACAAATGTATAAGCTATATAGCATTCTGACACTGGCCTCCTCCTAAGCCTGCGATAGCCACAAGCTCCATCCTCTCCGCTACAGCTTCAGCCTGCCCATCCACAAGGAGGCTGGCATGGCACCAGTGGCGGTGGCTGTATCCTAGGAGGAAATGTGGACAGGGGAAAGTTCACCCAGGAGAGACAGGTGCGTCCGGGACCAAGGGAGGTGGCAGCAGTGGGTCGAGTGTGCGGATCTGTGGCAGGAAGAATGGAAGCCCATTGCCGAGGTTCATAACTCGTGATGGTCCCATAGGAAGCTTCGTGTGAGGAGGGAGCATATGCACCAGCACATATTTGACTCGAGATCCATTCGGGGTGGAATTCGTGGGGAGATTACGGCTGCAGGTATGGCAGGCAGGTGTAGGGTCGGCCTGATTGGCAAACCTACGTTCTACTTGCAGCCAGACCCACCTTTTCACAGCGCTGTATGACAGCCGAGCAGGGGAGGACCGCCGGTGACACTGGGGGGATTTCAATGTCCTCTATCCAGGTACACTTTGGCACATATGGCTGAACCACTGTGCACTTTTGACTCCAGGGCTAGGGATGGAGATGGTGCACGGCGGTGACCAACATTGGCGGAGCAGGAGATCTCTCCCAACAGCGTCATTATGTCAGCTGTCCAGCCCGCCACTCACATTGGTAACCTCGTGGGTACCAGGTTCTTCCGCAGCCGATATCTCCTCATTAGCCTCGAAATATGGTCCTGCAACATTCAGGCGACAAGTTACATGGGCGAGGATGGTTATTCCATACATGGGAGGATGACGAGAGTGGGAACCTTTGAAATCAAGCTGGCAGTGACGATCAAAGGCACAATCTTACCAGGTAAAGCGTCTATTAGTTCCATCATACACAAATCATGTCTCGGATTTAAAAAAAAAAACTGCCCCTCAAACCCCCATGGGTATGCCAGTTTGCTGTTAGATGTACGTGGAATTTACTGCCACATTCACATGAAATGTCAAGCTTCTTCTTGCCATATCCATATGTAGTGCTCCTTCCTGTGGCTTTGAGGTAAAAACAAGCAAGAAGATGAAGGTCGTATACGATTGGAACTCAAATGGACAATTCATGGTAACTAACAACCATCTGTTCATAAGTGTATTTGATATTATTATTTCATTTTACGTCGAGCATGACAAGGCTTCTCAAAGAGTTGATAGTATGCTTGTCGGCGCAAGTTCAGCAAGCAAGTTCTTGGATCATTAAGACAGCACAGTTCCACTGGAGTACAGCCAGCAGAGCAAGAAAGTTGGCTTGGGTTCATCACCGTCTTGGACCCCTGGCTTGTGATTGATGAAGAGGATCATTGGTCATGGTTGCCTGTCAAGTAGCAACAAGGTACGTCACAGGCCGCGATCCCTTCTCTTCAGTATGAGTCGGAATAACTCAACCATTTTGTAAGCTGCTTGGTGATCAGAATCATATTGAACCATTTCGACCACTTTGTACACGAGAGCATTGCCGTGCACTTCTTCACCAACATGGTCTTGGATATGGAAGTGTTGTTGGTGTTTACAAGTGTCTGTGTGCACAATTGGCACACCACCACGCTCCGCTAAGCTATACATGGGCAAAAGACGAGTCGAGTTTTACTCGACTCGTTTTGACGAGTTTTTTGTCACACACGAGTCGAGTCGAGGAAAACTCGCCAAGTTTTTTGTGCCACAAAGCAAACTCGAAACTCGACCATTTTACCAAGTTTTTTCAACACTCGGACGAGTTCAAAGAAAACTCGTCCGAGTCAAGTAAAACTCGACTCGTTGTTAAACACCCCCCTTACCCACCACCCCACGAAACCAGTTTAGTGAAAGGAAATGCCGCGCGGATCTAGCGGCGGAATGCTAGGTGCGGGCAGATATGGCGGCGGAATGCTAGGTGCGGACGGATCTAGCGGCGGAATGCTATGTGCGGGCGGATCTGGCGGCAGAATGCTAGGTGCGGGCGGATCTAGCGGCGGAATGCTATGTGCGTTCAGATCTGGCGGCGGAGTGCTAGGTGCGGGCGGATCTAGCGGCGGAATGCTATGTGCGGGCGGATCTGGAGGCGGAATGCTAGGTGCGGCCGGATCTGGCGGCGGAATGCTAGGGGCGGCCGGATCTGGCGGCGGAATGCTAGGTGCGGGCGGATCTAGTGGCGGAATGCTAGGCGCGGGCGGTTCTGGTGGCAAAATGCTTACGAGCCCCAAAAACTTGCGAGTTTTGAAAAAACTTGCTTGGTAGCCGAGTTTTTCACGAGTTTTCTTAACTCGCGAGCAAAACTCGACTCGAGCAACCGAGTTTTTTTTACAAAAAAACAAACTTGAAACTCGAGCTTTTCGAGTCCCTCGAACAAGTCGAGGAAAAACTCGACTCGTTTGCCCATGTATACGCTAAGCAGTGTGCACGCTCACAAGTTTCAACTCATTCTCGTGTCCTGCTATGCATTTCCACCACCACTAACATTTTGTAATGTTTATCCCTTCGTGTTGCTTCCGAATGTCCACATATTTTCACGTTTGTGTGAGGCTCAAATCATTGCCCGTTGTTTTCACTTGTTAAAAGGGCTGTTTCTTGCAGCACTGTTTATGTAGTGTGCTGTTTTTCACTAGGAATATTTTCTTGCTGTATTCAATGTTTCTTTCCACCCATAAACCCTTTTGTATGTTGTATCATCAGGATTCTTTTCCGCAATTCCCTGAGTGGGTCTATTCCATCTGCCATCGGCAACATGAGAAACCTCTATTGGTTGTGAGTATTATGAAGGGAATAGGAAAGAGAGCCAACATAACCTCGCACAGGTTCAGAAATTAGAGGGCCTGCAATGGCAACACCAAGTCAACTTGATTTGAGAACGAGCATACATGCTAGGCATGACCAATGTACACGCTCACAAGTTTCAACTCATTCTCGTGTCCTGATATGCATTTCCACCACCACTGACGTTTTGTAATGTGTATCCCTTTGTGTTGCTTCTCAATGTCTACATATTTGCATGTTTGTGTGAGGCTCAAATAATTGCCCATTGTTTTCATTCGCTTTTCTTTTTGAAAGGGCTACTTCTTGCACACTGTGCTATATAGTCGATGGTAACGTTTAGCACCTGTTTATCAGGCACCGTTTAGAGTAGGTAGCTTGTATCACAATCATATTTCACCATGTCATGAGTTCTTTAGTCCTTGTTGTTTGATATCAATCCTCCCTCTCCTACTATTCAGTTGATTCATTTGTTATTCTTGATTGAATTTCATGGCACCTTCCCATGTGCTTGGTAACTAGTGTTTCGCCGTATCTTTTTTTAACACATTTGAAGCCCTTTATGTGTAATCTTACCACTCGTAAAACCCTTCGCATGTTTCACCATAAGGTATCTCAACCACAATGCGCTGACTGGGTCCATTCCATCCACCATCGGCAACATGACAAACCTCAGAGACTTGCGAGTAACATCAAGAGATCATAAAGAGAGCCAACATGACCGCTCACATGCTCATAAATATGAGGCCCAGAGCTGGCAGTTAAGAAAACGTCTGGTCTTTGCTCAACTTGACACAACTCCCAACTCGACTTCCACTCAAAGTGACTTGAATCGACTCGACACATGAGCATGTCTGACCCACGTTGTACCTATCCCAGAAAGGGAGAGTCCAGAAAATGCATCTGCATTGAAGAGTAAACAGCTTTGACTTATTCAAACCGTAACCCACATGTGTCCAACGCGACTCATGAGTCGGGTATTGTGGGTCTCGGTCGAACGGGAACAGGATTTTACTGAAGACCA